TACATCCGTTCTGACCTGTGAACAAACTGTTTTATTTGCATTTCAAGAGCCTATTATAAGTGGTGGCCAAAACTGGAGAATGTGTGTCTTTGTGTATGACATTCTGGGGTTTTGCTGCTTTTTTTTTTTTTTTTCCAATATTGATTGTAATTAAGGGCAGAGTATGTAATGGTTGTGGGAAAAAGGAAGTTTTTCTTCCTAAGCTATTGTTTACACATCGTTCAGTTTCATTTGAAAACATCTGTCTCATGAACGAGTAAATCCAAACTAAGTGATGTAAACCAGCATAGCTGAACTGTTACACAAATAACATTTCTTAAATACATATTAATTTTTAGTTGAGATAAGGTGGCCTAAAGGCCTTGCAGTCTAACATAAAACAGATAATTTGTTCCTGTGTTCATATGTTGCCTAGCACCATAGGCTTTCTAGATAATACAGTAATAGAAATATTCATAAACAATACACAATACCTTCCAACATAGATCATAGGCCTCATTATGCAGCAGCTTTTTTAATGCTGAAATGCAGAATCAGAACAAAAGTGTTCCAAATAATGGTCTAGACGGCTGTAAAGTTAGACCAGCATTATCGGCTTCTCCACCTCATGTAAGGTGGGGTCATGTCTTGCCTGCTTCCAAAATATTTAGGAAACGTCTGTCTTTGTTTTCTGCTTCAGCTCAGTTCTTCTCAGGGCCCTTCTTCTGAGAGACTGAGATTTTTGCCAGAGATGTATGAAACTGTTTTCCTTTAATAGAGTGTTCTTACAAGTATGATCCTGGAGAATGACACAAGGAGTATATGCGTGATTGGAGGTTAATGATCCAACTTGGAAAAGAGCTGCCATTTACATCTTCAGACTGTAAACACTTGAGGGCTTATGTTCTTGCCCAGTTCTAGGTTGCCTTTTTGTCTATATTCCTGATTAATCTTCCACTGCCATGTGTCTTTGCTCATGCCCAATACTGCTCAGCAGTGCCCAGCTCTGAGTGCAGGGGGTATGGATGGTGCCTGCTTGAGGGGAACACTGACCACAGCTGCTTTGCTCTCCATATTTCTGTCAGTGTGGTGGCAGCAGTCTCGAAGGACTACTGCTTTTTTCTTTGTTAGTGCATTTGTCCAGAGCAAATCTGAGTCAATTCCTTATCTCTAGAAAGACACAAATTTACTATAGTCTCCATATATTGCCATGCAGTTTCCAGGATCTACCCTGTGCCTAGCTCCTGAATGTTGGCAGAGATTCTCTTGACTTCCAGCGATGAAACAAGGGATGGACTTACTGTGGTCTTCCTCCTTGTTGCTCTGAATTAATATACCTAACTTCATAAGCAGTTTCATAACTATTTCATTGTTGACAATAGTCATTGTTAAGAATCTTACTTTATCTTAATTCAGGCAGCCTCAAATACACTCTATTCTGACTGAGGTAACCCATGAGGAACAGAATAGACCTTAACATGCTGCAAAATCGGGCTTATTTGCTGCTTAACTGAGGAAAATCTAGAGGATCCTGACTGTACTGACAATTACTGATGTAAACAATTTAACAGTGGAGTCTAGTCTGAGTAGTTGTGCAGACTTGTGCTTGTTTAAAACATTCCCTCTCCTTTGTCAGGTAGCTTGTTTGTGCCAAATCAGCTCTGTCGTGTTGCTCAAGTACTGCACTGAGTTTTCCTATATGGTTTAGCTGTTCTTAGTCATGTGTTTCTGCTCATACCATCAACCAAAAGTTCAAGAGTAAAGGAAATACTTTCTGCTTTGTTCTTCAGTTAATTAAACTTGAAGTAAATTAAATTTGTTAATTAGATTTTTGGTTTGGAGTTGAATAATTAGGAGTGTATAAATAAAAATTCCAAATGCTGGTTTTTTTCAGCATTCTTTACCTCAGAAACAGGACATAAAAGGACAACAACCTGGGAAACATCAGTAAAATAGTTGGTAGGAAAGCTAAACATTGGCTGCCTTTTATGATTTCTTTGAAAACAGTTATTATTTTAAGGAGACAACACTTGTTCTACCTACATTGTACAGTGAAAGAAAAAACACTATAAAAATAGACTTAATATGGGAACAGCTATGTTTAAATAAACAGAGTTGGTATGTATCAAAACTACAAACTATTTGACATGAGAAGCGTAAGCACAAGCGGCCACTAGTTAAAGGGGCCTAGGAGAATTGCTTCATTAACAGTGTTTTGGGGCTTGGTAGTGGGAAGGCCACTGGCAATGGAGAAATTCCCTATGGCAGGAAGCACTAAGCGTGCCAGCACGAGCAGCTGTTTTCCTAGGCTGGTTGGTTGTCCAGGACTCTGGCTGCTTATCCAGAGTGAGCAGTTCTGAACTGGCCCCTGTGTCTTGAGGAGGTGTGGATATTCCCCTCAACATATGTTAAAAGATCTTCCAAGTTTATAGTTTTAAAAGCGATAATAAGTCCTTGTGCCAATATGGAATTCACCCTCTGTTAGTTTCTGTTTATTTCACAAAAATAAATGTATCTGGTCTACTGCATTCCAAGCAGTGAGAACATTTATTTTTCAGATATTTGTATAAATATCAAGAACATACCCTTTCTGAAAGGAACAGTTTAAATTTTGATTTTTTTCTTTATATATTACAGCTCTACATATCCCATCTTCCTCTGTCCTGACCTGTGTGCCTATCCCCTGCCCCATTCAAACCCTCTGCACTCTGTAGGTTTTCTGCAGCCAGTTGTTTCCCTTCATGGATGGGCTGCAGGCTGTACCTTACTCCCCTGACTTCAGTTCGGTCTCCTTGCTTGCTTCCTCAGTAGATCCCTTCTAGTAATTACGGCAGCATGAGCACAGCCCAAGCTGATAAGCATCACAGATGGATGTCACTCCACGTCTCCTCTAAAGTACTTCTGTACACACCACAAATTTGCCTTTTTTAATCTTGCACAGCCGTGTACGAAGGCCTCCTTGCAATGTATATGCACAATTAATGCTCTTTTTTTGCTGTCATCTCTGTTTCCATGACGTTGGCACGAATGAAATTTTTGAGTTTCGATGTAACTTTCTGCCGTGCACAGTTGCTAGCTTAGCTTGCTGATGCTTTTCCATTTTCAGCATTGAATAATATCTTGGGACCAAACTCTGCACAGTTGTGAACGCCCTTGGCCAAATTTCAAAGTAATATATTCTATGGTGCAATTGAAAATGTGACACATGAATGCTGCTGATTATTCTAGAAGTGTTCTAGCAGTGCTGCGCTCTTTCCTTAGCCCACTGGTCTCATCTCGTTCCTCAGGCATTCCGCTCAGTATCTCCCCCCTCAACTTCAGTGTCCATATGCCAAGCTCCCGTTGGGCAGGTCTATCGAGAGGCTAAAGCTGCCCACCGCAAAGCCACGGGTGCTGAAATGCCCGGTGTGCAGAGGGGTAGGGGTATTTCACAGGCTTCCTCTACTGTGTCAGGCGTAAATTCAGGCTACGTGACAAACTGACCTTCTTCAGAGACTTCCTACTACCTGAGATCAGAGAGGATTTTGTCTGTATGTGGATGCGCTCAGTGTGCTGGACACAGCCTCCTGCTCCACTGCCTCAGCAGTCTAATGGCGTCACGGAGTATGGCTGGAGACCACTGACTTACCAAAGAAGATGCTCTTTTCTGTTGCAAGCTCTCATGTGCAGCTTGTCCAGATTCCTTTACTAATTCCTGTGAGAGCAGAGGATAGCTCGGTACTTCCCATCAGCCACAAAGCAGGGGCTTCCCTGCTTCTGACCTGGAGGCCTTTCACACCTTAGCACGTCCTACCTCGAAGCATTCTGAGTGCACTTAGTGCAGACATACGTGCTGCAAGCCACTGGCCCATCTTACCTGCTGCCAGCACCTCTTACAGTGCAGAGGGAAATTGTTTTCTCCCTCTGACCTCAGATATTTTGGGAATTACACTTACATGTTGTCTTACCATTCTGGAGCCCATCACAGCAGGTATCTGATCAGCTCCGTGCCTGCAACCCATTTGCCTTTGGTTCAACTCTTCAATGCTTGCTAGACATTCCTCTCGTAAAAGTTCAGTTTAAAAACCTACATGAAATTGCTGCATGAGACTATAAAGCCAGTGCCAGCGCATTAAAAGATCAGTGTCTTGCCGAGGTGACTTCTTGTACCAAAATAGACTGGCAGATGGTTTCCCAGCCTGGACCTGCGTAAGATGGATAGTAACTCTGGCAAAAACACGCTGCAGGCAGTCCAGGATGGACAGGACTTGTGATTCTTGACCCTTAGGACACCTGTGAGGAGCAGCCAGTGTGAAAATTCATGGTCATTGAAAGCATTATGAGTTCAGATAAAACAAATAGGTAATCTCCTCCCTGCCCTTAAATTTGTTGGGGTTTGTTGTTACCGTCCCCCAGCTTTGGTAACTAACGACTGCGTGGCAATCTGTGGAGTGCCCTGGGAGACGGAGTCCATTGCCTTGCAATTTTTATGTTTTCAGCTTCCTGGGGGTATTTTTACAGAATGCTGAGCAGCCTGTCTTGTTTGAAGAGATGGACAGTTAATGCAAATGGAGTATAAAAACATCTTTATCAAATTGTCAACACTGCTTCTTGTTTACCTGAATTCCACCTGGAGAAAATGCCTCTCTGAGCCTTAGATAAACCAGCTGCAGTCCCGTTCTTCAGCTTTGCCTGCCCTCTGCTGCCCTCTCGGGCAACGCCATGGGATGCAGAGGAATGTAAAGCACTCTATTGCAGCTGTTTTATCATGCATTTCACGGAGACTTTCATAATATGCACAAACAGAAATGTAAAATATATATGGAAATTAGAATGTACCATGACAGTGTTGTTACTGGAGTTACAGGTTCAGATTTAATTCCTAGTGTGGTAGAAATCACATATTGACAACTGAGATACACAAAAGCTGCACATACACAGATGACTGACCTTCGTTAGGGATTGAATTACATCACATAACCTTGTGCTTCCGCATGTTGCGTGTCTGCTGTGCAAGTAGTTTGTGTTCTGCTTTATTTCAGGAAGGCTTTTCATTAATTGATTCCCACAAGTGGTTAAAGATAGTCAGACGAGCAGACTGCCTGCTGCTTTGTGCGCAGTCAAAGGTGAGTTGCTTTGAACAGCTCTAATCGCTAACAGTTCTGTGTAAGATTTCTTAATATTGGATAAACTAAACCAGAAGTTCTGAGGTACTGCAAACTGTCTGTATCAATGAATATATTTTTTTCACTCTAGATATAAAACCTGCATAAATTGAATTACCTTTGCTCTCTGATTCTTGTCAGATTCTTATAAAACGTGGAGTATGAGTGAAGACAACTATTGAGCTGTTGCAGTACTTCGTTCTGATTAACAGCTTTTCTAAGTGCCCATATCCAGGTCTTCTAGACTGCTTTCTGTGAGTTAGCTACTAAACCAGCCAGACTGGTATTTATTTTGGAATCTATCTGCCACTGCTACCAATTAAAAAGATGTACAGAAGCATGCTACCTATGAGTCACGCTGCACTCTGGCAAACAAATGATCTAACCAAACAATTCTTTAGCCAGTTTCTGGCCCCTGACACCTGGCACAGTAGTGGCAGGCTGGTGATTCAGGCATTTAGTATTCAAGGCAATGAAAGGGACCCTAGGATTCTGGTCATCCCCTCAGATTGCATGAAAAGTGGTTAGTTAGCCTTTAAATAATTTAATGGCACTTGCTCGTTACCAGTTTACATATAGATCTCAGTTGTCTTTGTTCTTAGATGAACTCCGAAAAGCTGCTTGTTCATCTGCACTGAGCACTCACCAGGTTTGTCAGAAACACAGCCTGTTTCAAAGTGAGAAGAGCTCTCCCTTCTCCCTGGAGAGTTTCTAGACTGCGTGGTTTCAGCAGAAACAGCTACCTCTAGTTTAATTTTCTCTACTTGACAAGAGAATTCATCTCTAGGTTAGAAACAAGAATTCTGGAAAAAGATGATGAGCCCCTTGTTCAGGAGCTGCTAGAGCCCAGTTTTAACTCTTTGCCCCATTCACAGAACCATTAAGGCATCAAAACATTTCAACTGTTCTGAGATGTTCTGGCATTCTCCCTGGCAGGAACTCTGGTACAGACAGGGTTATTGTAATTGCAGGTAATAGCAGTACTCAGAATAGCTGAGAAGGGTAACACTCCCTAGTTAGTTGTATTTCGATCTTCTATCTGATTTCTTTTGTGAAAGACACAGAAGTATGTCTTCATAGGATGCTACAAACCAAACTATGTAGGTTGCAGAGTGGGGAATGCCTTGCTAGATAACTGCAGGATAAAAACAGATGTGAGGTGTAATAAACTTTGTTCAAACATAAGGACTCCTCTTGTTTCAGAATAAGCCTGGTCTGATGGTGCCACTAGGAAGTGCATAAGGAGCATCTTAAGCTGTTTTAAATTCATGGATTATGCTTGCCTCAAACCAAAGCACCTTTGCTCTCTGATTTTTGTGAGGTTCTTATAAAATGTGGATTATTACTGAAGATGACTATCGAGCTGTCACATCAGTTCTGGTGAATCAGTACCTCGTTGTTTTCCTCTACAGTTAATAGAGCCAGTTCCCCAGCAGCATTAGGGGATTCTGCTGCATCTCCCAAGAAACACAACATCGGCATCACAGTCACTTCGAGACTTGAACAAAACTCTGAGGGACAGTTCAGAGAAGAAGTAATAGTGACATAGTCTTAAATTACTTTGGTGCATCTAAATGTTTACTTACCATAAATTCACATGGCTTAAAGGGGATTTAGTGGCACTGCAGTGGTCCTATCATACAGTTTCTCTGCTTTACACCCTAAATTGTAGCTGAAGCAATCCCATAAATGCTGTCAGTGTCTACAGCTTCTCTGCTAATCTTCAAAAATATTTTAAAAACTCAGGAAGCCAGCCACTCAGTGGAAGGGGTTATGTCCCAACCCTGGCAGACCCAAGTAAGGTGAGAGTCAAGCAGAAGGCAGAGGAAAGCGAGCCAGGAGAATGAGTTTTGAGAAGCTCTGTGGCAATCAATATACCTGGAGGAACAAGACATGTAGAGAAGACACCTGTCACAGATCACTACTGAAACTCAGCTGTACTAGTGGGAACTTTATTCCGTGAAGCTCAGATGCATGCTTGTGTCTTACTCTTGGGGAAAGACTGCCCTTTGTACGGCTCCTTCTCTAGCCATCCGTTCTCTCACACGAGTCTGACGTGCCCCTGTGCGTAAAAACTTCTCCATATGGAATGATCTGGAAGAAGCAGCAAGACAAACATTCTCAGTATTCTTGTAGTAATTCCCCTTCATGCTGTGTTCATTGAGCTCAATCACCTCCACTGTGGGAAGAGGTGCACGTTGGATGGTCCGGGTGACCTCAAGGTCCATTAATACTTCACCTCTCGAACAGCCCAGTACTCAGTTTATGCTGAAGTTTGACATCATCTTAGCTGAATCTGAGCATGTTCTCTCTTTCCATAAAGGAAAAAGGTTTAATTTACAAAGTTTATTGTTGTTTATAAACTGCAATCTTAAATACTTAACGTTGCTTGTGAAAAAGGGGCAGGTAGTTCAGACAGTTCTGACTGAAAATGGATGTAGTGACTGTAGGGGTAACTGACACCAGTGGTTTTGGACATCTCCAGAAGCAATTCAAGCTAAGATGCAAGTTACTTTTCTGTCATTTTAATGACAATTCACCTGTCCAGCTCAGCCACAAATCAGTTCTTGGTTATGTGAAGCTGACCCAGTTAAATTGACATCTTTGTTAATTAGAGGAAAAGTAACTGGGCACTGGTAAAATGAGCACCAGTTTGAATTACTTTGACATGTTTTTCCCTTTGAAAGACACTGAGACAAGCTTTTATGCTTGGAGTGCCCTAAAAAATCATTTTATGTAGTACAAGCATTTTAAAATAACACACATGTAAACACACAGGTTGTCAGGGAGAGCTGGCTCACCTCTGAGACAGAAGTCTTCAAGGTGAAAGATGTCCTGGTATCTGTGTGATCAGCAGTCAACAGCACCTCGTCATTAAAAAATGGTTGTGTTGCTGAAATCTCAGAGAGATGAAGGCTCAAATAAGCTAGGTCAGTCCAAGGAAAACTTCCTTCTTCTCTAATACTTTAGCTGTGGTTTGTATTTGAATTTTCAAGATCAAACTGGAAGTCCCATTAATTCACCCTCTAAACAAGAGCATTTGATGTGTGTCTGCCTTCCATCAGCTGAACCTGCTCAGGATGAGCTTATCGTGCACAACAGACTCTTCAGCTCTCCGTTGGCAGGGCAGTTTGCTGGACTTCATGGAATTTAAAAAAATCTGTTACAGCACAGCCTGTAGCAGGGGGTCAGTTCTACCCTGATTTTAAAGAATTTTTAGTATTGCTTCACTACTGAAAGTCCTGCATCTGAGCTTCTTGCCCTCCTCACCAGCTGTGTTAGCGCCGGTTCAAGGGCCGGCAGCACCCAGCTGCAGTGCCAGACTGAATTTGCGCGTTCAGCTATGCCCAGGCAGACCAGGTGGGTAGGGAAGGCTGGGTTTGAGGCAGACACTAACACACACCCTACACAGAACGTACAGTTCCCAGCACTTTTAGTTTACATTCCAAGTTAACTTCTGGCATTGCATGTTCTGCCACAAGGAACTCTTCAGAGCTGGCATGTCCTTATAGGATACTACTTGCAGCAACAACAGGAAGTTAATCTCCCTGCTATGCGATACGTGTAAAAACCATCATCATGGCAAGGTTTGTTTACTTGGCTAGACCTTTAATTAGTTGACAAGTGGCACTACCACCCACCCCCACCCCCCCCGAAGGGGGCCTACAAGGGTGCTGGGAGAGGACTTTTTACAAGAGCCTGTAGTGACAGGACAAGGGGGAATGGGTATAAATTGAAAACAGGGAGGTTTAGATTGGATATCAGGAAGAAATTCTTCCCAGAGAGGCTGGGGAGGCACTGGGACAGGTTGCCCAGAGAAGCTCTGGATGCCCCATCCCTGGAAGTGTCCAAGGCCAGGCTGGATGAGGCTTGGAGCAACCTGGTCTAGTGGAAGGTGTCCCTGCCCATGGCAGGGGGGTTGGAACTAGATGATCTTTAAGGTCCCTTCCAACCCTAACCATTCTATGATTTTCCTGTTTTTTTTTAACTGGTTTTAGAACTGGGAATCATAGTCTTCTGGTTTAGCTGCTGGAAAAAATGAAGCTACAGCAGGGAAAACTTATTTGTTTGGTTTTAAGTTGGTGCAGTGATCCAAAAATTTATCGCCTTCTTCCTAACTTGAACAAAGAGGAATTTAATTAAAACTGAATAGTTGGAGGGGATTCGTAGTTAATGCAATCTCTCTTTGGTTTCTGAGCAGAACGAATGCCGCATGTTTCGCGTTCAATTTGGTGGGGATTCCAAGGAAGAGATGCTGGAACACTGCTGCAGTTGCGTTCGGAAACTTGCAGAGTATGTGCCGGTTCAAGTAATGGATGAACGCGGGCAGCAGCTCTGTCACAGTCTCGGTCAGCTGGCTGACGGTGGGGATCAGCTCAAGGAGGCGGAACAGCATCCATCAGTCCCACATGGAGTAAGTAAACCAGAGCACGGAGACAGAAAACCACTCAACTCAGCGTTAGATCTGTAAATGACAAGTTTTACTGCTGAAGAAAGTTTCTTGCAACTATGAGACCATCGATACGAAATAATGATTTGGGAAAGCCAAAATTCCGTTTGCATGCTGGGAAATGTGATTAGCGAACCGGGCTCGTTCTCTGGGAAGCCAGCTGCTGAAGTTGGCTGTTGTCTTCCCGGTTTCTTAGTGTGCCTGAAAAAAGGTAACAGAACAGCGCTCAAAAAAGTGCTTCTAGCTCCTCAAGCCTGCTGTGATACCCCCTCAGAGGATCAGATGCCTTTGCTCTGGCCTCCAAAAGGTCAGGAATAACCAGAATACGCACGTTTCACGTGATCCGAGGAATATTAGCAGGAGTATGGAGTGAGATTTACAGGTGGGGAAGAAAGCTTTGCTCTGGGGTTTGAGCTTCTCCTTAGCTAGGGAGCCTGGAAGCGAACACGTGATGCAATGTAGCGGTTAGTAGCCTTAAAAGAAACACTACCGCCAAGAGTTACTTAGCAATACCCAATCAGACGGTGGCTATAGCTTGGTGAAAGACTTGGGTGCTTTTTGCTGAGCAGATGGGAGCTGAATAGTTACCAAACCCCACACGTACCAGTTCATCAGTGTGGCTTTCTGCACAGACTGCTGGGAACCAGCTGTCAAATAACTGACAGGGTAAGAAAACCCATGAAAGCCATTTAAGTAACCACAAACTGTGTTCTGCTTTTGTGATTACCCACTCCTGGTTTGCAGTGTAAATGCAATTGCATCACTGTGAGCTTAACCTGGTACATTTAAAAGCGATTTCAGGGTAGGAACAGAATGTTTCCCCTCTCCAAGACAAAGATCGAAGAGAAATGGTAAAGGCAACGGCAGACCGTGTTTCTGAGGGTGACTAATTCTTAAATACATGCTCTCTTGGGTCCAGGGGAGCATGTTTTCCAGCTTAAAAAAAATCATCCCTGCAGCTACCTTAGCCAGGATAGCTCTTGGGTACATGATAAAAATACCAGGACCAAGAGTGAGCCCTGAAAAAGGAACGCCAAGGCTCTCAGCTACCTAACTTTCATTGTGTATTCTAGGAGGGTCCTACTCTACTGGACAGTGAAATTGTATTTGGTAGAGAAAGTGTGGGGAAAAAATACTGCTATTTTGACCCACACCCCATTTCCAGGAAGGCACATGGGATACCTCCAACAGCCGATAGTCAAGACTTACTGCTGGTTCTTTAGGCAGATGACCTACGCTTTGGGCTCTGCTCACCTCCGGGTAGGCTAAAGCAAAGAAGGAGAGGTAAAGTACGTACGTCATGGCATAACAGTCATACCCACGGTATGAGTCATGCCCTTGCTCCACAAGTTAAGACTGAAAACCTTACTCAGAAAGCCGAATTGACAGCTTAACCCACCTTCTCCGTGCTGTGACCCACGGGAAGGAAAACAGTGTGCTCTTGGTGAGCATCCACACAGAGCGTTTTTTTAACTTCCAGTAGGGAGTGGCAGCGCTCTCCTCGTTTAGACATGACAGTTTAACTACAGGCCCGTTTTTTTCATGTCTTTCATTTTTAAAGACTGGAGCAGATGTGCATTCAGGTTCCATAAAAAGATGCCTTTTTACTGCATAAGGTGCTGCTGAGCACATTCTCTTCCCGTTATCTCTAAAAATGGAACTACTCCCCTTCTTGCACATACCCACGCTCTGCTTGGTAACAAGCCCTGATTTGCATTTGATATTTCCTAGCCAGATGAGCCTCTACCGGATTCCTGCTCAAGCCTTGGAGAAACAAGATCCGTAGCACAGCTAGCACAGGTAAAAAATAATTTTAAAAATCTCGTATTTGCATCCTGTAACTGGATCTCTGGCACAAACATCTGGTGCCTTCAGTGAACATCAGGATGCCATCACCTACACCAGCTAACACCACAGGCTGTTGTGTAATCAGCTGGAGCTCGAAGCGAGCTGAGTACCCAGGTATTTCATCCTGTAATTACTTCATTTGCATAAGAACAAACCACACAAGCAAATACCCAGAGGTCACACCCAAATAGATGGCTTCCTCGTTCCGACTGCAGGAATGGCTGCTGCAGTCACCGCTGAAGTCGGAACCTATCAATCACCCCTGACCCACAGCAAAAGATCCCGTGATTCAGTTGACAGCTTCACGGAGAAATCAGGGTAAAGCCGTGCTCAAAAATAACTGGAAGTTAACTATTGCTTGTTCACTCAGAATTTGTGACTGTACAGTCTCAGATGACTAAAAACTATTCTTTCCAACATCTGTCTGTGCAGGTGCCTCTACGGGTCTTTCTTACCCTTTCCCCACACTCAGGGATGATTAAGTCATGTTTCCTCACATCAGTGGTGTCAGGGACAATTCCTATGCTCCCTATTACAAATCTGTCCTCTCTCAAACCCCGAAAAGCCTTGCAAGCCAGCAAAGTTGCCTCTGCGCTGCTGTCAGCACAGAGAGCTGCGTTACGCACCCTGCACCTCCCTTCCCGCAGTTCTGGTTTTGCCCTCGTACAGACACGCAGCGCCAGTGCGACAAGCCAGCGCGATCAAACAAGGCAGTTTGCCTTTAGCAGCTAGTTTCCATCACCAATCTCTGCTTTACGAGGCAACACCAGGAAATGTAAACAACCACCAACATTATAAAAGAACTTACCTTCTGGAAGCTGCTCTTTTTTGGTCGCGGTGTGACAACTGCGCCATACCTGCTTCTGAACAAAGCTTTCTGCTGCCGAGGCCCATGTTCGCTGTACGCGCTGATCGTCTCTCACCCGAGCTACCAACAGATACCCCAGCACACAGGGACCCCCTGACATAGTAATTCCCTACATCCTCCCCCACGTGCCCCTCTACTCCTCAGTCAGCGGAGCACAACCGTGCTCCCAGCCGGGCCCTGGCCCGCAGGCTTGCCACACCGAGTTTGCTCAGGGCTGAACTTTTTCCCACTTCAACTCCAGAAGCAGCCTTGCGGGAACACTGGGAGTTAGGTTTCTCCGTTTCTGCTTCAGGAAGCTGGCAGAAGCGTTGGTTTCCAGCGTTCTCTCACAGGCTCTTTTAAAAGATACTCAGTCGTCAAAGATCTTTGTCTCTGCCAGGAAAAGAGCAATAGTGCAACGTGAATAAGCTTAGTGAAAACGGTTTGGGTGGTTTCTTCCCCTCCCCACAAGTCACACAGGTGCCTGGTCCTGGTCCCCCTGCCACTTGTCCTGCGCTGTCCCAGGAGCGAGCAGAGAAGGTGGGGCCTGGCTGAAGCTGCCAGCGGTTCTGCTTTTACCAGCTGGAGAGCCCTTGTTCAGCCTGTGCCCCTGCATCGGCACATCCAAGAGGCCAAATCTGCAGTGCTTTACAGCCAGATACAGATGAACTAGCATTAGGCATTTCCCCCAAACCAGAACCGTTCCCCTGCTGCCTCTCCACATCATACCCACCTCACTCCCCGGCTTTTTCCTTTGCTGCTCTCCCACGCCAACATTCCCAGCAGCATCCATAACTGCTGCTGTAGTGGCTTCAGCACAGACGGGTACAGAAGGTTAAAGGTAGCGAGGTCTAGAGAACACTGGCAGCCCCAGCGCTGGGTCACCGATGCGTACGGTGAGCGATCAAGCCAATGCGGCCCCTGTGACATGACAGTTTCCTTAACGCGCCGCACGCCCAGCAGGACAGGGGGCAGCTCGCCACAATAAAGTTTTAGCTGAGTGGCATCAGATTGTTGTCATAGAAACAGCAGTGCAAAACGTGCGTGGGAGCTGCCCAATAACCTCCCGGTCCCCTTAGACTCCTGCGCTCCTCCAGCGCATCCAGTGGCTGTGACGGCCCCTGTGACATGACAGTTTCCTTAACGCGCCGCACGCCCAGCAGGACAGGGGGCAGCTCGCCACAATAAAGTTTTAGCTGAGTGGCATCAGATTGTTGTCATAGAAACAGCAGTGCAAAACGTGCGTGGGAGCTGCCCAATAACCTCCCGGTCCCCTTAGACTCCTGCGCTCCTCCAGCGCATCCAGTGGCTGTGAGCGACGTCAGGTGTGGATGCTGGGAGGCAGCACAGGACCTCGCACATCTTCCACTGCTGCCACCGGTTTAACCCTGAAGTGATAAAAATGCACATCATTTGCCAATCACCGGGTGAAAGGGGGCTAAACGGCCACAAAAAGGCTGCTTTAACTCGTGAAAAGCCCCATAATTCACTTCCAAAAGACACCTTGCTGAATTAAGAGCTTAGGAGCGCATCCGTGGTGGTGCACATACTCCAGAGTCCTTTTCTCTTGCACGGCGTGGCTGTTCCCGGGGAAGCCCCGTTCCCCAGGGAATTGGCACTTCTGGTTTACGTGCCGCAGAGGAAGTCAGAATTGGGTAGAGGCGACGCTGGCAGCGAAGGCAGGTGTCATGGAGAGAGCGACAGGCAGAAGGCGTGCCTGCTCCACGCAGAGAGACGGGCAGGCGCGCCTGCACTGCGCGCGCAGCGGCACTGTTACAAACCCGGGGGAGGTACAAGGTGAGCGAAAAACCTTTCGCTTTACTTCCGCAGGCTGTGCTGAAGAACCACCCCGAGCTCCCCCTCCTGCATCCGCACGCAGCCTGGCGTGCGCAAGAGCTGGGGCCCTTCATCCGCCTCTGTCTCATGGACCAGAGTTTCCCAGCTTTTGTGGAAGATGTGGAGAAGGAATTGAAAAAACTCACAGAAGGTTGAGAAGCACCAACTTACCACCCCTGACATACAGCTCCAGGACACCCAGCGCTCGGGATGCACAACTGTACGTGCGATTAAATATTGGAAAGAGCCTCACGCTGGTTGTTTGGTCAGTGTTTTATTTTTAAAAACAGGTGAATCCACTTTTTATACATCATTGCACTTCAACAAATACACAGAACACAAGTTCATGCATCTACAGTTACGCACATCGTGAGAACCCTGTCAGGTCTGTTTCTACAATCTTCAAATCATGAGAAATTACAGTGTCAAACTCAAGAGTATAACTAGTTGCATAGAATATCACCATGCTGTAACATTTCATCATTTAAACAAACAAACAAAAAGAAAATTATAAAAGTTTGCCTGAATTGAATGTACAAGAATATGTTGAACACATCAGTGCAAAAGGATTTGAGAATTTACATGAGTTAACAAAAAAAAAAATCACTTAAAAAGCAATCATATATATATATATTTATAAACTGAAGTTTTGTTTTTGTTTTTAACTGCATTCCACCACCACGTCGAACCGTTCCCGCTTCCGAAGTCTGACTGTAGGACACCCAAGTCTCTCTAGAGGTTAAGCCCTTAAGATAATTTCGATTTATATTACTTCTCTAAGTACCAGAACAGTGTAATTCTCTCATCTTTCAGACACACAGTAAGGAATGAACAGCAGCAGCTTAAAAATGAAACACAATGACTGTATTTTGGTTTGCCCCCCTCCCCGAAATATAAATATATACTGTATATGTTTTTAAGTTTTGCTGTACTTTACAAAAAGTCTCACTAGATGGCAGCAGCGCGGTTTAGAGCTTTGCCAACTCCAACAGCTACAGGAAGTAAAAAACGGCGCATGCGTGAACCAGCTTCACTACTTCTCCTGTTTAAATAGATTCAGGAGAGAGGAAAAAAAAAAAAGTAAAAAGAAAAAAGGAAAAGAAAAGCAACATTCACAGCACATCAAGCCCGAAATAGTTTACACCTTCTACACTGAAGCATTATTAGTTTATCTGGCTAGGTCACCTTGCAGGAGAGGCTACGTAAGGCATGCGTTCGACAGTCATATTGTTGCTCACTTGAAAAGGAACCCAAAAAAAAAAAAAAAAATCAGACAGAACTGGAGTTCTAGAACCAAGAGTTCCAACCCTTAAATTTAGCAGGTCATATTGCCATCAGTCTCTCAGAAACTTAAAGCTCTAAAAAAGAAAGGAGAAAAGGCGCAGATCAATGCCTGGCAGCATTTCCAACACCGCGTGCCCTCCAAGCATCCGCACGGGTCTCGACTGCGGACACGGGCTTCCCCACCGAGGGCAGCGCCCGGATTGTCAGACCGACTGAGGGTGGGTTTGGGGTTTTTTTAATCAGCAGTAGTAGCGACTGCGTAGAGTCTGACAGCTACCGGGTCAGGAGCCTGCCTGCGTGTTTCCCCCAGCGCTCCCGAAGCCGGGCAGAAGGGCCAGCGCCGCCCTCTGCGCAGCTGGGAACACGTTCACACGCGGAGCAATGCTCAGGCACCCCAACCTCCAGAGGAAAAGGAGGACACGGCCCGACCGTTTCTGAGACGTGCGAGAGCCATACTTACACGATAAGCATTTTTAATTTGTGTTTCTCTGGCGTAAGTTTTTATCTTTATGGTTGTTTGTAGAATTGGTTTTCCTGGGGGAATTAAAAAAAAAAAGGCACCAAAATTAGTGACAGCTGTAGGAAAACACCTTTGTACGTACCGAGTTCAACTGCGTTTTGTTCCTCCTCCTCCTCCTAAGTGGCGCGGGACAACACGGCTTTTAAACCGAACGTTGCCACCTTCTTGCCCAGCACAATTCACCTCCTGTACCTGCCGTTCTGCTTCCTCTCCGCAGCCAAACCTCCTTCCCCTCGCCCTTCGCCTGTAGCTTAAGGGACCTGTTAACAGCGGCCCGCACCAAACCTGCCGCGCCGGGCAGTGGGCAGACCGCACCTCTCCAGCCCGAGGACTTGTTCCCAACGCCCTCACCTTGCCGAGACCACTTGATCCCAACGCTACCAAACCACACCACAGGCTCCCTAACCGCCAGCAGTGTCACCCCTGACAACGGCCTCGCTAAGCTCCCACAAACCCTCGCGTTAAGCTCAATGGTATTTTCTTCCTTAAAGTGCACTTACATTGGCCCAGCTGGTTCATCATCTGCAGCAAGAATTCCGACGCGGTCCAGGGAAAGACAAGGAGGGGAAAGAAAAAAAGAGAGGAGTCAGTCTCTGCACCATGACACCGGCTGAACTGCAAACAGCAAACCGACCTATCTACAGCATTAAAGGCCATTCCACTGGGTAGTGCAAAGATTCATGGAGTTATTTTTCTGGATTCAAGGTTTAATGGCAGGTATGTGGCTTCAATGGTTTTAGTTAACACTTTGAATGCTCGTCATGAAGAACTGCAACTGTAGCGGACAGATTGTTGCAATATGGTCAGGCTCATCTTGTCCCCAAGTTCCAGTGGTTCAATCTCGTAAAAAATAGATGAGAAGACAAACCAACATTTCAGTTGTAAAATCCTGCTGGTTGTTTTCTTGCATAGTTGGGGGTTTGTTTGGTTGGGTTTAAGATACAGATACGCATTTTTAAGCCATTCTTCGACTGCTGATGGGTGGTTATATACACAACAGGGTGTATACACCACGTGCTCATCCTCCCCCAGGGATGATACAACCTCGACATCTTCCATTTTGCTCAATGTCTAATTAGAAGGGACCAGGTTGGGAGGAGGTTGAAGGTGCAATGCTCGACTGGAGTATCCCAACGCAGTCCGTGGAGAGCGGCAGGCATCGTGCCTGCAGCCGACAGAGCGCAGGGCTCAACACACAGGAAAGGTCAGGGGTGTTGTAATACCTCCAGGCACAACAGACTTCAGCTACAGAGGACTGACAGCATTGTTCTGCCTGTGTCTCTTGGCAAAAACACGCTTTTAAGAATTGGAAAAAGATCTGCCAATGAGTAATGTTTCGCATTAGCTCTTTCATGACCAATTGAACATTTTTGTTTAATTAGAAAGGACCTTACTTTGCCCCCAGGCTGCAGTACGGAAGACAGACGTGCATTTAAACGGCAGTACAAAACCAATGCAGAAAGTTAACGCTCCTGTGGAAGTATTTTGGGGGGGGGGCAATTCAGGGCCTGCTGTTTTTGGCACTCAACAGTTGCCGTTCCTACCCCGTGCTAGAGGGGTTTTTTCACTGAAGTCTTTAAGAAACTCTCAGCAGGATTCCACAAGGGTGCTTAGTGCACATGAAGCAGTTATGGAAATTACAGTCTTAACAGTGTAGGCATCCGCATGAGCACACGCTGGGAGTAATGTCGGGCAGAGGGGACATTACTCCACCTGTACCTCCAAGGCAACGGATAGGCAAAGCCACCGCTAGCACAGACAGTGACCGGAACAAAAAAAATATTTCAAAAAAATAAAGAACTAACCACAAACCAAGAGCTTTACAGCCAAAATAACAGACTAGCGACACGCCAGTGTCCACAGAAGTCCATTACCAGCAACAGTACACTATCGGACAAGGTACAGAGAGAACTAGGACTAGTCAGGACAACCAGACATCAATGTGCTGTTGTATATACGGTGGAGATATACAGAGACACATCAGGTACTGAAACACAAAGCACAGTACAGCAGCTCTACAACTCTCCTCCACAGGCATCTTTTGGTTCACAAAAGATCTGAGGGCAGGCTGCGCTCCGCACGCCGGCTGGGAAGAGCCTCGGACAGCGAGCAAGCCCTCAGTGCCCCCAGCCCCAGATCGGCGTCAGGACTCGCTTCTCTCGGCTTTCTAACAAGCACCATCGGTATCTTTGAGAGTTTGTTTTACTGGACTTCAGAAATCTCACACTGTGCCGTTAAGATACAAGCTCCCTCTCGCTATAAAATAACCTTTGTTCCTTCTCCGCCAAAATATTTAGGTGCCTATTTCAGGTAAGTAGTTTTGTGCGTTTAACAGGTGAAAAAAAAAAGCTTCACGTTTATCAAGGTCTCTTCCCAGCAAAGATCCAACGTCCCTACTGGAATACTCATCACCTGGTGGAACACCACCTCGCGCCCGTTCCCCATCTAGAACCTCAGCGGAGATAAAGAGACCGAGGACAAGGTCTCTGGGCGCTCCCATCCTGCTCAGCCGTTTAACTGCCGGAAAAGCATCCCCGAACAGTACAGACAAAGACCGAAACCTCAGCGAAATCAGGGGGCAACAGAACAACAGAAAAATAAGTACAAAATTAGACTAAATAAAGATTAAAAACAGCAAACTGAAATCCAAATTAGTTGTGAACGTGAATGAAGAAGTTTTAAGGAAAAGTGTTAACGTCATGACTTGTGCGTTGTATAGACTGAAGCGGAGATTAAACAAACTCCAAAGCATGCAGATCTCTCACTTACCACCATTTTTTTTAAGGGTATGATGCAATTGAAGGGGGAAAAAAAAAAAAAGAAGTCATAGTAACCGACAAATATCAATATAACTCAAAACCTTTATGCCAGAAGACCTGCTCTAGCAACCGATTGTCTCTGCTAGCACGTGAAACCTACAGCCCCAGAGAACATCCTCCTCCCAGTACGCTGCTTCATTCCATTCCGCTCCCAAAACGTTGCCAGGAGAGCTGTAATTTTGTAATTGACCACACGAACCCCCTCCTTTTGCAGGAATTTGCTTTTGAATTCAGAGGGAATCTGCAGGCTCCAAAACCCCGTTGTTTACACAACACAAGAATAAACCAGCCCCAACCAGCCAAGGTTTCTGGTGGGTACGGTGCTTATCTGCTTCCTGTGGGCCTCCAACAGCCCGTTCCTGACCGGAAAGGTTGGTTACACCGCTGCCATCTCCAGCGCATCGTGTGACACGTGTAACCAATCCTCCCCGGCAAACGTATCTGGACATTAAAATTGCAAGAGGATGACGGAGGATTCGCTTGAGCCCTTCCACCTGCGCGAACTGCCTGGGAACATAACTCGTGCTTTGGCA